GATATCCCGTTCCGAAAACAGCTCAAAGGACGAACGGCGGCTTCCATCAACCACGGAAATCCTGCCTGAATTACGGGTCCACGGGGCGTCCGTCTTTCCAAGCGAGCGCTTCGCGCGGTGACAATGAGTTCTTGACGGGGCTAATGAGTAGTGGGCTTGTGAGTGGGGGGTGTGGTGCAGCGTCCTTGATTCATCTTGAGTTGATTATGTTCCTCCCCCGCCTCCACCTCTTCTGCCACCTCCCCCATCCCGCTCGTCATCATAGTTCCTCTCCTCCTCCTCCACCTCCTCCTCCTCAGCCTCCAACCTCCTCCTCGTCCTCCTCCTTCTGTTCCTCCTGCTTATCCTCATCCCCTACCCTGGCCCATCTTCATACTGTTCCTCACTCCCCCTCCCCTCCCCCACCTCCTCCTCCTCCTCCTCCTCCTCCTCCTCCTCCTCCTCCTCCTCTTCCGTCTTCTCCTCCTCCTCCTCCTCCTCCTACTCCCCCTGCTCTTCTTCATCGCCGTCTTCTTATGTGTATCAGTCCTCCTCCTCCTCCTCCTCCTCCTCCTCTTCTCCTCTTCTTCCTCCTCCTCTCCTCCTCTCTCCCCCCCGCCTCCTCCTCCTCCTCCTCCTCCTCCTCCTCCTCCTCCTCCTCCTCCTCCTCCTCCCAGTCATCGTCCTCCCAGTCATCGTCCTCCTGCGCCCCATTTCTCCCTCCCCCCCTCGCGCCATCATCGCTTCCTCCTCCCCCCCCCGCGGCAAGCACTGCCGAATCCTTCCTGCGCCGCTCCACGCTGGAGCCCTCTGCGTAGCCCTCCAGCCCTGTCCCAACGTCAAAAAAAAGAGAGACGAGTCACCACTGCAAGGCTCCTCCTCCACCTCATCATCATCATCATCATCATCATCATCATCATCATCATCATCATCATCATCATCATCATCATCATCATCATCATCATCATCATCATCATCATCATCATCATCATCATCATCATCATCATCGTCATCGTCATCATCATCATCATCATCATCATCAACGTCGTCGTCATCATCGTCATCATCATCATCGTCATCATCATCATCATCATCATCATCATCATCATCATCATCATCATCATCATCATCATCATCATCGTCATCGTCATCGTCATCGTCATCGTCATCGTCATCGTCATCGTCATCGTCATCGTCATCGTCATCGTCATCATCATCCTCCTCCTCATGTCCTCCTGTCCTATTTCCCCTCCTCCCGATCCCGATGGAATCCTGATTTGGATGTTGATGGCATTGGAAGTGGATGTTGATGGCGACTGTTTCTCCGATGCATCCTGACGGGGTCCCAGATCCCCACCAAAAACTCCGAACCTCGACTACCCGAACGGGAAGCAGGAGTAGGAGGAGGCGGCCAGAGGTGAGTTAAGCCGCCCGCGCCCGAGCCATCGAGAGGAGCGAGGGAGACGCCTGGCCTCTTCGTGGCCAAGGAATGCGCCACGATCGCTCTTCGCGGCCGCGGAACTGGCCCCTCGGGCCCGCAGAGCACCGACAGCGGCCTCGGACCCCTCCTCGCCTGCCCCCAGCGATGGACGAGTTCGGCCACCTCAGTGTAGGGCACTTCCCGACGTGCGCCTCTGTCAGAACCTAGATGCTATGGGTCGAACTCAATATGTCATAGGTCGGGCACTCCAACTCTGGAAGTGGAGAGAGAGAGAGAGAGCGCAGCACCAACACCAATAGTATGGTGTCAGAGGTGCATCCGGATTCAGACACATCGGCGATCTGTAGAGATCGCAGCATGGGCGCCGTTTCACTGCCGACCACGTCCCGGACACACAAATAAATAGACACAAATAACTGTATTCCCCTATACGTTCCCATATTTTCTGGGTTTTCGTCATCCCCCCCCCACTTCCCATATGTTCCCATATCTTCTGGGGGATCGACGCTTACCCGTGTCTGTATTTTTTGCCCTCCTGAACAACATGAACACTATGTTGTTCCCATCCTACTTCAGGACCGCATACCAGAAATAATTTCGAGCACCCAAACAAGTGCCAAAAGAGCGTCGAAAGAGTGTCGGGCGAATGTACCCCAGGGACCGACACGCGAGCTTCTGTACTTTTGCTGGCCGCTCGAAACTATTCCTTGTGATCGAGGCTAAAGTAGGTTGGAGCATCACAACTCGTTATCCTGGCATCCTGGCCGCTCGAAAGTCTTCCTGGTGGTCCTGGCGACGCTTACTTGTGTCTGCGCGGTTCTTCCCCTCCTGGACGTTGTGGACCCAGGGCAGCTGGCATGGCACGAGCCTGATGCCCCTGCAGCGCTTCCTGGACCCGCGTCGGCCGAGATGGAGCCAGAACGCTCCAGGGGAGTCTCCTCTCTGGATCTGCGGGCACTGGCATGGAGGCAGCACAGGAAATCCAGGGTGGTGAGAACCCCGTGCCCGACGATTGCAGTCGGGGCCCTGAAGAAGGAACCCTTTTCGTTGGGGAGGGGCTTCGCGTTCCTGAAGTGTTTCACAGCTTGCCCCAGGCTTTCCTCGTGTTTCCGATGGGAACTCGAAATTTAACTTATGGAAAAAAGAGGCTCGTTCCTTATTTTGGGTTCCTTAGGTCAACGCCTCGACTGTACTTGTGCCCGTGATTGTTTGCCCTCCGGAATAACAGGAGCATGCGCTTTCGAGCGTCCGCGCGGGAGGTTCCTCAGGGATCGGTGCTGGGCCCCCCCTCCCCAAAGACGCGCGGAGCGCACCAGAGGAGGGGGCGGCCGCGGAGGCGCGCGGCGGGGGGGGGGCCTTCCGGCGCAGATCTCCACTGCAAGACCGCGCGGACCCTTCGCACGCCCATGTTCAGGTCGGGCCTGTCCCCCTGCAGGGGGATTTTCGACGAAGGATAAAAATATTCAAAATGCAAAATAATGCCGAAAATGCTGAAGACATACTAACCCGACGATTTTGTTTTACTATTTTTGAATATTCCTCCTGTAGAGGGACGTGCCCGACTTAAGCCTATGTTTTCGGTACCGTCCTGTTCTTCGATTATGGTGTCTCCTAGACGGGATCCGAGCAGATGGGGTCGGAGGATCGCGCCGCATCGCCAGATCGGCGATGCATCGGCGACGCCAACGATGCAACGAAG